ATGAATCAAAAGATTTGATTTCTCTCAACGTACTTGGTAAAGCATTCCAGATCTTGGGGCCTTGGTATTCAAATTATTATTATTATTATTAATATTATGTATTGGGGGTAAAGTAAGAACATCTTCAGAAAACTTAGAGAACATTTTGAAAATGCAGCAGGAGAAAATTATACATATTATTATTATGTATTGGGGTAAAGTAAGAACATCTTTTGAAAGCTAAGTGAAAAAGTTAAAAAATACAACAGAAGAAAAGTATACATATTATTAAAATAATGCAGGAGTAAAGTAAGAACATCTTACACATATTATTATTTATGTATTGAAGTAAAATAAGAAAATCTTTAGAAACCTTAGTGAACGTTTTAGAAATACAACAGAAGAAATGTATACACATTATTATGTATTGGGGTAAAGTAAAAACATATTTAGAAAACTTAGTGAAAATGTTAAAAAATACAACCGAAGAAAATTATAATATTATGTATTGGGGTAAAGCAAAAACATCTTTAGAAACCTTAGTAAACTTTTTAAAAATACAACAGAAAAAAAGTATACACATGATTGAAATAATACTGGGGTAAAGTAAGAACATCTTTAGAAAGCTTAGTGAACATCTGAAAAATACAACAGGACAAATTGGTCTCTTTTTTAAGGACCGGGCTAACCCAGATTTCGGGGGTTTCCAGAAATCTTGACCTACACCAAAAGTGGGCATTGTCCTGCCTATAGGAGAAGTTTGGTTTCATTGGTGTGAATATTTGTTTGGTTGTAGAGTAAACTCTCCTTGCATTTTAAAGAAACTGAACAAGGGGCAACAACTTTACCTTCGATTTTCTCAAAAGAGCATTTTTCGGGATAGCTTACAAGCGACAAATTATATCAGGGTTAGGTAAGAACAAGTTTAGAAAGCTTAGTGAACCTTTAAAAATACGACAGAATAAAATTATGTTTGGGAAAAGTAAGAACATCTTTAGAAAGCTTAATGAACATTAAAAAAAAACCCATTACATGTACTTAATTTCTACGTAGACTTTTCCCAAAAAAAAAAGATAGCAGGAGAAGCTCTTATTGAAATAGAATACATCACTGTAATTAAAGGGAAGGAAGGGTGGGGTGGGGG